TTTTAGATTATACAAGAGTCTGATATGCATGCAAGAAATCAAATTTCGCCCCCCCCCCCTTAACTGGAACAGAAACTCAGGTATGATGTTCCCATGTAAACTCTGACATGCATTCATTTTAATCACATGCAATTTTATGACATGAAAGGTTCTCTTCAGGCTAGCAGTACATAAGGAACCACTGCCTAACAAAATCAAGATCTTAAAGGGATCCAAGCAATTTTTATGAATATTCCATAGCTATGAGAAATCTGTGTTTATATCATATGAGCTTTAGTCACTAGACACTCTGTTATTTACTCTATAAACCTTCATTTAAATGAGAAGATTTATAAGAAACCTTTTCCTTAGAGGCAGGAGATCTCATAATCTCATAATCAATAGATTTCTCAGGAGATCTCACAATTTTTCTTATATCTTTGGAACTATCTGCTGTTGTCTATTTGGAGATCTGCAATATTGAAATATTTGAAACACTAGTAAAATTTGGTGGAGCAGTTGCTATGTAAGTTATCATTTGGTGCTACTTATTATGTTATGATAACCATTTGCACATGCTATACTCATTGCCACACTGTAAGGGGTGGAATATGACTGCAGTTTGTCCCAGGAACATGAAAGAAACAGAAAGAAAAAAAGAAAGAGAAGGAGAAGGAGAAGGAGAAGGAGAAGGAGAAGGAGAAGGAGAAGGAGAAGGAGAAGGAGGAGGAGGAGGAGGAGGAGGAGGAGGAGGAGGAGGAGGAGGAGGAGAAGGAGGAGGAGAAGGAGAAGGAGGAGGAGGAGGAGGAGGAGGAGGAGGCGGAGGAGGAGGAGGGAGGAGGAGAAGGAGGAGGAGGAGGAGGAGGAGGAGGAGGCGGAGGAGGAGGAGGGAGGAGGAGGAAGAAGGGAAGGGGAAATGGAAGGGGAAGGGGAAGAGGAAGGGAAAGGGGAAATGGAAGGGGAAGAGGAAGGGGAAGGGGAAGGGGAAGGGGAAGGGGAAGGGGAAGGGGAAGGGGAAGGGGAAGGGGAAAGAACATCTTTATGCACTTGTTCTTTTATGATTCTTGCTGTTTCACTCAGCTGCCTCTAAAAGGAAGGGCAATTAATATAATTACAATGTGCATTGAGAAGTCCTGTCTGAGAATGCATGTGAGAAAAAATTCACCCTGCTCTCTCTTTTTTTTTTTTTTTTTTCATGAATGCTGTACAGTTAAAAACAGATGAAAACCATGAATTATATAGATGGCTGCTGCATTTAAAGGAGATTTCCTTTTATTGAGAGGGAAAAGAGAGCTTGGAAGAAGAACCTCATAGAAGGAAACACTAACTTAACTTTTATTCTCATACTTTATGGAACTACCTAGATCTATATGCCACTATCTTTATTAGTAAATTATATCCATAATATCAGTAAAGTTCAGAGACCTTGTACTTATTTTTTCATATAAATGAAATGGCTAGATTAGGATGAACTGAAATAAATTAACTCCGAAGCAGGCAGTCTTCTTCTCAGTGAAAACAGTCAGAAGTTACAATTTCAAAATAAACAGAATTTGATACAAGAGCTTCTGAAACCTTCTTAATACTTCCTTAGGGTAGAAATACATCTTGGAAATATTTCTAAGTGAATGATTGGGCTAGATGATCCTTGTGGGTCTCTTCTAACTCATTTTATTCTGTGATTCCATGATTTCTTTATGGTCTTCAATACTAATTTTTTTTCTGAAATTTTACATAATGGCAAGGTTTTGCTAACAAGAAAAAAGAAAACCTTAGTCTATCTAATTTCTCTCTTTTGTGCTTCTTTGTTAAAAAAGTGAATTAAAGTGATCAAGGAAACAGGATTATTCAGAAGTTCATGACTGCAACATCAAATGTAATCATGTAACAAACTGCTGGAAAAATCCCAGCCTCTGGGTCCTTTCTGTAGGGTGACCCTACAGCAGACAGATTAGAAACTCATGTACACTGTTGCTACAGTTATAGACTTTCAAAAATTTCTCTAATTTCTTAATGCAATCAGAAAATAATACAATAAACAAACAAACAAAAAGTATAGTGTGATATTAGAGGTATGTCAAGTGAAAGGAATGGTTAGCCCTGTGGTGAGCTGAACTTTGAGCTTTAACTTTCTTATTTGTTGATCACATGTTTTTCATGTCTTCCTCATAATTCTTCTGTATTGTTATTAAACCACAAATTATTAGTAACAATATCAGTGAATAGTAAATTGTTGTCAGTATTGGTATTTAATAGTAAAATATCTCCAGTAGCAATAAACTTTAACAGTAATACCAATGGTTTTTAAAGAATCAGAATCATGGAGTCTGGAAGGAACCTCTGAGGGCTCTCAACAGGTCCAACCTGTTCCTAAAAACAGGTCAAAATTAACTCAGGTCTGGCCTTATGCAACTGAGCTTTGAATGTGTCCAAGAAATAACAGCCTCTATTGGCAACTCATTTCAGTTTTTCACTACAATATTTTCTGGAATAATCAAAAGAAAGAATAACTATACATACATATGCTAAAATGAATTTGGATAGTTCTGACAGTATTCTTTTGCAAAAAATGAGAAATATGGGGAGATTCACTAAGAATAATGAGTGGTGTTTATCAAATATTTTTTGTTAATTATTACAGACTGAAGGCCTCAAGGAAATATTTAAATCAGAAGAAGTAACATTACAACATTAAATGCTTAATGATAATTTTTTTGTAAGTACTACAGTATTAAAACATCATTTTATTAGATGCACAATTACCCTGCAATAGTAGATTATTTTTTTTGATAATAGTTTGGTGCACAATTACCCTGCAATAGTAGATTATTTTTTTTGATAATAGTTTGGTCTATTAATGTTAAAATAGTTAATGATTTTTACTTAGGTATCTTGTTGCACTTTGAAATATAAACATTTATTTCTGCAAAAAAACCTAGTATATAAAATTGGGTATTTTTACAGTCAGAAAAAAGGAGACAACAAAATAAGGAAGTTCAAGCTACAAACTTAAAAGAACCTTCAACACAGTGTTTTGCAATTATATTCATTGCATTTAATGCATTTTTTTACAGCACATTTGATTAATACATAATTTGAACTATTTTTGTAGTCATCTTCACTGAGGCTGAACTACATCAAAGAAGGTAACAATAATGATTATCTCAGTGATTCAAAGTAGGATATTACCTTGTAATCTCAATTCATTAATTGTTCTGATAGTAATGTGCAAAGTACAGTGTTATCTCTGTCATTTTCCTATGCCTATCACTTTCCTATTCAATAAGGCCAAGAAAAATAAACTGCTATACAGTCATTATTGCTCCAAGTGAAGACAAAAGTAAAGACAAAAATCTGCCCTAGAAGAGAACAAATTATGCTGGCACATAGCAGCATGAGATACTCTTCAGAAGTTTGCAAAGGATTTTAGCAAATGTCTGCTCTTCTTTTTTTTCCTCCTTCTAAATTTTTGCCTTTATTTTCATTTTAGAATGAAGTGATTACATAACCTTTCATATCTGCCAAACAATTCATTATGAAGCCTTCATAAATTATGTAGTATTTTAAACTTTAAAGAATCACTGCAGTATTACAAGCATGGGAAACCTGCTTCTAATATGTAAATCTCTTAACTCAGATATCCATAGAGGAATTAACAGAATAGCCAGCAAAATGCATGAAGTTCTCAAATAATGAAACAATATAAGAAAAATAATATGCCTCACAAGCATTCTGAGTTAGTAAATTCCATTACTTGTATGCATGTAAAGACATAATCATTGAATGTTTTGTGATCTGTTCCATTGATTTACCTGACTTTCCTGTAGAACAAATAATACAAGATAGTACAGCATAATATACCAGGAAATATAAAGAGGGGTTAGGTGCAGATAACACTTAACACTTGTTAGGCTAATTCTGCACACTACAATATGACTTTTTTATACCAAAGTGGCATTCAGCATGATGGTCAATCATCTACTGCTGCTTAAATGAAATCCTGACATCTTTGAACTAAACTAACAAATAATGTTGCTGACACAGAAAGCCACGATGAAATTAAACTAAAATGTATGAGAGTACTGGCAGCAATGAAATTACTGCATTAAAATAAATGAAGAAACTGAAACCCAAAAGAGTAAGCTGTATATAGTAATTCCTAACACTGCTATTTAAAACATTTACAATGATAATGGTGGAACTCTGAGCTTAAGGTCCTAAAGACAAAATAAATTAAAAAGTATTTGAAGCTTCACCTTGTAGCAGAAATAAAATCAGTTTTGAGTCTATAGAACCCATCCAATTGAAAATATTTCCAAGGTGATCTAATTAAGAATTTTGGTTTAACTCTTCATTTTGAATTGTGACAATTTTGTTTAGTGGGTAAATAAAAATTCCAAATAAGAGTTAGAGTTAAACCTCCATCCAAAACAGTAGTTGTCAAGTCATTAGTGTAACAGGTTCTGAGTCAACTGCTGGTCTCATCTGTTTAGAATATCTGGTTTATGTTTCTTATACCTGCATGCCAATTAAAAAATATTTGAGGGTCAAATAATATTCTTATAATACAACCATATGTTTAGATCATATGTTTCTTCATCCATTTCACACATTCTCAGAGACTGTTAAATAACTTTGAATACTTGAAAATTAGCACAGGGTTCCTTTGGCCCTTAGAGCCTTGATTCCATCCTTTAATAGCGGCTACAGGTTCTTTTCCATCTTGGAGTTCCAGATATTCTCTGTGTAGAGCAGACATAATTGGTTTTATCCCAGACTTCCTGGGAGGGAACATTCTACCAAATTTTTCTTAAAAACAAAATTCTTCAATTCAGATATTTAACAGAAATTTACTATAAGAACTTCTGAGTTTGTTTTTATTCTATTTGTAGAGAAAGAAGTTGCTATGCATAATAAGGGCAAGTTACTGTGGAAATATTTCCTTTAGAGAATTAAACCAGCACACACCACAAATCTGCGTTAAGACACTAACTTTTTTTCCTTTTCTATTCATTCTTTTTCTTTTATCATTCAATCTTCCAGTGTTGGACAATAATAAATGGCATATTATCTAATTATTCTTATAAATTTCTACTAACACAGATTGTAAATCTCAATGGTGCATGCAAAGTAAAATATCCAGCATACCTGTCAAATAGTGTGTAGCTTCAGCTTCAATCAAGTTCTCCAAACATTGTCACTGCTTCATCAAGATGCTTTAAGGTATAAGAAATAGCTACAAAGACTGTCAAATATGATGAAGGACCTACAGAGATATATTCTCACCTGGAAGAGTAATACATGGTTAAATAGCACAACTTAGGGAATATTAAAGCACACTAGATGTTTATTTTAATGCAGATTAGTTCCACCCTTAGTATGGAGGAAGCTCAGTTTCCTTCATCAATTAAACTCATTAATTACTTTACATTATTCAGTCTCCAAACTGGTGACACAATCTCTTCAAAGTCTCTGAGAAATAAAAATATAAAGCAATAGTTGCAATATGACGAAACAGCATACACCATTGAGGATGCATAGCTTACATTCTGCAATTAAAGTAGTACTCATAATGCTAACAATAGGTCTTTTTTGTTGCTTAAAATATATTGGTCAAATGTTAAAATCATTCCACACAGAGCTATTATCTACAACACCACAGGGGTGACAGAAGTTTCATGGAGGTGAGAGTCTAATTCATATAAATAAATCTGATATGAAAAACGTGACAAATTAGATTATGCTTTTTTCTTTCAAATATCTGACAGAAGAGTAAGCTGGAATGAGATCTGCCTCCCAGTCTTTGCCAAAATCTTATTCAAAGTAAATAAAAATTATTTTATATAGCAGGTGCCTGCCACCCACTTCATATCTGTAAGACTTAAGGCTATGAAAATAAAATGAGACAGTTTCAAATTTTAGGGTGGACATTAGACTGACAAGTTGGTAACAGAATTTCTTGAACTATTGCTATCTAAAGCTTTTAGTAGTGGGAATATTTTTATCTGGGTACACAATGTTAAATGTTAATAATTATGTCAGTTTTGTTGTTTTTTTTTTTTTTTTTTCTGAAGGCTAGGTTTTGAGATTCAGGTTGTGAAAGTGAAAATAGACTAATACAGAAAGGGAGATAAATACTTTGTTAAAATACAGCAGTGACAATAGAATGCCCCTCGAGATTTATATGTGACAAGAAAGGGTGTTAATTAGTTAGCAAAATGACAAAAGAATAATTTAGATATGGTGTTAAATGGTACATTGAAAGTTACTAATAAAATAAAAGTATATACTGATATGAATGTGAACATCTGAAAGCAAGATCATCTTTGCAGGAAGGTAAAAAATAAATCAGTTTCATTGTAAGGAAGTTACCAGAACTGTGCCTACATTTAACAGCCCATGCAAGATATGTACACAGAAACGGAGTTAAGCCTGGCTTCCCATAGCTGTGCTTCTGAATGACTGGGACCTGTAAGTGATGGTGAGAATTTGCAGGTTTTTGCTGAAGAATGTTCTAAATCCAAGGCATTTTTCATTCTTAAGGAGATCTCTAGTGTACATTATTGTGTGCATTCACATTATGCTCAGAATCTTAAGAATTAGATATATGAGATTTTTACCAAACTCTCAGTAGATGTCATGTGATTGGAGAACATGTGGAGATATATCTGCCAATGTTTCTGATTTCTCATAAAAGCAAGAGTTAAGAAAAAAAACCCCAAAAGAATGAATTTGTATCCCTAGACTGTATTTTAGCTGTAAGTTTTATAGTGCAGAAACTTTTGAAAGTTCTTTAGCAAAAATAAGTGCATGATGCAATTAAATATTTGCTTCTAACTGGAAAATTAACACCTATTCTGTAATTAAGTAATGATAACTAAAAGTGCACTTCAGCATGATTACAAGAGGAAATGAGAAATGTCACAGGACAGAAGTTTAATAGGTGAAGTGGTTCCTTGGTTCTGATAGGAGTTTTTTTTTTTTTTTTGGTACTTGGTTTCTTGTTTATATATGTTACATTTCTATGTTATTTTGTGCTTATCACAGAACAAAGGAGGCTTTGCCAGAAATTTCCAATTTCCGATTCCAGGAAAGAAAAGAAATAAAACCTCTTCTCTGATCATGACATCGTCTTTGGGAGGCAAGTTATTGAGTTCCATGACAGTTTCTCTGTTTCCATGTTGCAGTTAAAAATTACCCAAGGTTCTGGACTCAAACTTTGTTATGGATGCTAACTGTCTTCAATACAGAATATGGGGGAAAAAACCAACAAAGTATTAGGTCATTCAGTCAGAAAAGTGTCAGGAAAAAGAGAAAATAAAGTGTTGATGTTCTGCTTTTGTTTTATAACCAAATTATTATATAAACTGGGGAAGAGAGATGATTGACTAAGGGATATATGAACATAGCAAACTGTTGACAAAACCATAAGTGAAAGCTAATGGTTTTGTCAACAGTTTGTCAACTGTAGAAAGACAGACCCAATCACACTTTTTGTTACACAACACAATAGTAGATTTAGTTAGAATTTACCCTACTTAATTTTCTAGCTTCTAGGACTTATCATGTCCATTTTCAACTGAGGAACAGAAGAAGTTGTAAAATAGAAAAACAAAAAAAAAGAATGTAGGCATAATCTCAGTGGGACAAGAAAGGGAATACGGAAGTAAAATACAAAAAAGTGCAGTTTGTAATCAATATCTGTTGGTTTTAATGTGAGTCTAACGTCTAAAACCTAATTTTTATTTCAAATCTATTTTATGAAGAACCTGGTTTAAGTTTCTGAATTTGAATCTGATTCCATCTCTGGGTGATCAAAGAATTCAAGTGATAAAATCTATAACTTACTTGCATCAAGAAAAAAATTTCTGTAATGTGATCATATGCTTCTTGTAGAAATGAACAAAAAATTCTTCATAGTAAAATCTCTATAGGCTACATCCCACAGAACTTGTTAGTCAGTGATAAGAATGCTAGGTCTCAAAGCATATGCTTTTAGATAAAAACTGGCTTGTTCTTAAGTCATCTTACTCTGTATTGATAAAGGAATGGAAAGGCAGCCCAGCATTCAGCTGTTGCCTAAAACCAGTGAAAAGTACAATTATTTGGCACTGATATATGACAATTCTAGTAAAACCCTTCTATGTGGTCCTCTCAATAAAATCCCTTTCACTATATATAATGGGTTAGAAATATTCTCTCCTAGTTTTTACAACACTCAGCAAAGTTCACTGTCAGACTGTCAGGGAAAATTGTCTAGGTTTCTTCATACTGTGTAGGTGACAAATACTCCTAGATAATGAAAATAGGTTTGCTGTACACTTTGGGCTTGTCTTCAGCAATCCAACATTTTAAAACTTATTTAAAGAATATGCTGAAGAAGCATTTAAGTTCTGAAAACAGCAAAGTCGAAAAATATGAAATATGGCACACTTGTTATGAACATTCAGCAAAATAAATACAACTTCTGATAATCAGTGTGTTGTGAATATTGCCATTTCCCTCAAATAAACTCTGGGGAAAAAAATCAGTGCATTAGAAAAGCCTTTTAAAGTTTCTCATTTCCTTCACTAGAGTTTGAGCCATGAGAGTTATTGTAAAGAAAAGTGAAACTTTTTTCACTTATTAACCTTTATTAACCTTTATTTTTCTTCTCCATAATTTAATAACTAATTTTTTTCTGCCAGTAGAGAGTTCCTAAATTAATTTGGAATTAAATAAGGAGTTGCTCAATTTGAGAAAGAAAAAAAAAGTTGTTGTTTTGGGGTTTTTACTATTAATAAGATTATAATTAATCTTCTGGTTTTTCATTGGGGGAAGTATAACTACTTCAGATATATAGAATCTATTTCTACAGAGAATCTATTTCTGTCCCTACTTGATGGATGTTCCTGAGCTAATAAGATATATTCTAAAATCCTTTTCTGATAAATAATATTCTCTTTTTGACTGTTATTATTGTCAAAGCAAATTTTTCTTCAGAAATAAAAACTTGCCACCTTTGCTGACAAATCAGTAAGTCTTCTGACATATGACGGTAGCAAAATGAGGTTGAAATATCATACCAGGTTTGCAGGGAAAAAAAAATATTAAATATGTATCAGTCAGAAATAAAAAATTGTTGGCAGATAATTTTTACATGAAAATATAAAAAGTAATTTTGACACGACATCCATAATTTCTTTAAAAAAAAGTAGGAAAAAATTATCTTAAAATTAAAACCAGGTTATTTTTAAAATTTAATTTACATTTAATTCACATAATTTGAAGTATTATAACATTGATTGTCTCAGGGCATGAGCCCCTAAAACTAGGAATTATATAAAGATTGCAATATTTTTTTTCAATGTATATTTTGCTTGTTTCATGTAATCAATTAAAAAATAAATGTGTCAATAAGTTAGCCAAAAGTCAGCTTCCTCTTTCTGAACATGACCACAGCAGATCTAAGGAATGTTGTGAAATTATACCTAAGACAGTAATTAAATTTATATATGGAATAATTTTCTTTCAATCATAACTTGTTGCAAGTATGCCATATCTTGCATCTCTGTCTGTTTGCATAAAAAAATAAAAATGGTCAAGATTAAAAGATTTCTGGAACTACCTGTTATTTGATGAATATGTTTTTTCTGAGAAAAACTGCTGATGGTTAAAGCCCTTCTTGTCTTCATTACCCACATAAAGGAAACTAGTCAGAAACAGGGATTAATGCTTTGTAAATCAGATGTTAAATGAGATAGTTCTGGTTCAGTGTCTGCAAAACTAGGTTTAACTGATCAACTTGTTTCTTCAGTTCCAGTTATAAAATGAGATTTATCCAACAATGAACGAGATCTCTCAGGATTTAAAAAGCAGTAGAATCTACAGTTTACACACGTTTTGAAGAATTAACTAATTTCTCTCTCAAATAATATCTGAGAGGAAGAATAGTAAAATGAAGAGCAGAAAAAAAAAAAAAATCTTGTGGCTACCTGATAGAAAAAACTCAATATCCTAGTACTCTTCACTCTAAAAGTGATATTGGTCTAGGGAAGGATATATGCTGGACTTCTATAAAAACTTGGATACAGGGTTGTACCTCAAGGTACAAAGGCATAGACAATAACCAGGGGCCATCAAAAGGCCCCTAGGGTCAAAACAGGAAAGAATGAAATAAATCTTCCTGAAAAGGGGAGAAAATCCTGACACCAGGAGAGGCCAGACTTGAGAGTTGCAGGCCCTGCATATCTGAAGAGCTCTGACCTCCATGGTCAGACACCATCTGTGTCTCACTGCAAGGAGGGCCCCGGAGGAACCATGGTGCGCAGCCCCGCGTGGCGCCTATCAGCTCAGAGGGTGCCCTCGCAGGGATTCCAAAGGGGTTGCTGCTTGGGCAGGGCTGTCAAAGAGTTTCTGTGTTGCATGTACGTAGTGATTGAAGGTGGCTGGGAAACATCTCCTACTTTGCTGAAAACTTTTACTTGTATAAACCTTTAGACAAGTTAAGATGTGAACAGTCATGTCCTGTAACATTCATTATGCTCTCCACAGCAGAGGTTCAGAAAGCGAAACAACAGTGACTAGAAGAACAAACTTTTGAAGATGACTAAAATGGAAAAAAAACATACCAGGGTTAGGAAATTCTCAGAGCCCAAAACTGCTGGAAATATGAAAAGAATCATAAATGCCTCTTAATAGTCTTCTGTAAGCATCTGCTCACAACCATTGTGAGGTTCAGGATATTGAGTTATATAGCTTCTTGGTCCGGAGCCAAATATAGCTTTTCCTATAGTTCTTAAATTGAAAAAATTTAGGTGATTTTTGCAACACTGATTTTTGAACTACTAAGTACACTTAACTTCTTAATGAATCTTCCCTTAAATTATCTGTAAAATCTTTCAATATTTCTACCACAGAAAATTTAAATTTGGATACTATGGTCATGCAGAAAGTGAAGTAGAATGTCCTGAACACAGTACTCATTTTATATAAAGCAGTGAATTTTGTGGAATATTACTGGATTGTTATGAATTATTACATTTTATTTATGTACAGAAGCTTTTGTGCCACCTTACTTTGGATACCAGTGTTAACATATGAAGGCAGATGACCTCGGCCTGAAGTTTAACTAACTGAATCTTTCATGAGAAATTTCTTTATTTGACATGGAAAAAAATCTGCTACATGGTACATAGCAAAGCAAGAAGTTGAAAAAATGTACAGATTTCTCCATGAGGGATGGGTGCATCTCAGAGACAGCTAAAGGGGATTTGTGCAAAATGGCCAAATGTTACAGACAGAAGAAGGGAGGCATTGACCGTCTTTGAAAGACCATCAGTGACTCAGTAACTACACAAGTGATACCATTCAAGGAACATATATGATCCAGGTAAAGGTAGACTGTATATATCCTGTCTATTTTTACTGTGTGGAGACAAGGACAAAAAAACTGGTGTCAAGATATATATAGGAAGAACCAGCGTGGTGTGAAAGGGAATAAAAAAGGCTGGTTTTATATAAACAAGCCACTGGTCTGTCTGGACTGAGCCCTGTGCCTGATCACTGTTCCCTGTCCTATCTTATGTGTGGATATACTGTGATCTACAAGCAGAAGCAGAAGCAGACAGACATAATTTCTAACAGATTCAGCTCTACCCAGTGATGTGAGCATCCATGAAATGATCTGGTTTGAAGGGGAAAAATACTGAACAGAATAAAATGTCTGCCGAAAATACTGATAGAGAAATTACCTGCCATCCAGGGAGCTGTGAGCCTGGGAACAGGAGCTGGGAACCAGAAACATCCCTGAAAAATGCAGCTGGCACTTTGAAGTACAGTTGGGTACCTAGAAACCACATATATCCTGAGACACCATTGCACATAAATGGAATGGCAATTCATCATCTGAAAAACTGGAAACAGTCTGGAGAAACAAAAATCACGAAAAGAAAAGAAAACTTCATCCATCCTTGGACTTTTAAAAGTGAAAAATAGACATGAAGAACATCTATTGGCTTTTCAAAGTGCTGATGCCCTAAGCCCTCTTATTTCTCTATGATATAAAAAGGACTTAATTTTTATTGAAAATATAGGCCTCTCTCTGAGAACTTCCCATGCTGCATACACTTTTCCTTTCCTAGACAGCATGAATTTTCCACACAAATTTTCTGCAAGGTCTTGGATTCTCACTGGACACACCTGTGTTACTACTGACCCTGTCATGTAGATCATCTTTGAAGTGAGACTGCATTTTTTCTGGTTCCTACTCTGGGCCTCCTTCTGGGGTAGATACAGTTTGGTTTTGCATATTTGCAATTATCAAGGGAAAGGCAAATGTAAAGATGTCAATTTTATCTGCATATAAAACATCCGCATTTTTCTGAACTCAGTACTTTTTGCTAGTTCAAGTGTCATTAGCACTTTTCTTAGCTGTATCCTCAATTATTTAAGGGCATTTTGGTTGCTTGCACCAACTTGTCAATGTCCAGTGGTTAGGTTTGGAGATAAGAGAAGCACCTTAGCTGAAGAGAGAAGTGCATGAACACTCCTGTTTCTCATAGCAATCATACACTTGTGCAAATGCTCATGCAATATTGTAGTTTGTACGCAGTATTAGGCTAATAATTCATTATACATTGTATGCAATAATGAGGCAATAGACTTCTCCATTGTTGTATTGATTTTCACAGCAAAACAAATCAGCAATTCTGCTAATATATATGGCCCACACAAAGTTATTGCTCTGGTGAGATTCACTGCTCCTGAAGGCTTTAGCCAGCCAGTGAAGCACCAGACCTGCTGAGCAGCCAGACACTGGCAGGTCTGCAACAGGCACAAGGAAACTCTCAGCACTTCCTAATGGCTTCTCAACATATCTCCATTCCAGATGGACAATACAAACGTTGTATGTTTCATACACTTCCAAGCAATAAACTTGCCCTCTCTAAGAGGAAAGGTGCCATTCCAGGAGACCAGGAAAAAGAAACCTCATTATTGTAGGTGAAAAAAAAAAATAAATCTTTCTTGTACTCTTTGTCCACATTTTGATAATCTCATAAACAGCATGAGCAAGCAATTGAATAATTCAAGGAATAAGATTAGAGAAAAATAAGCCAAAGAAAAACCCCCAAACATCAAAAAAAAAAAAAAAAAAAGCAAAAAAAGGTAAAAAAAACCCAGAAAAAAACTACAATAAAAAAAAAAAAACAACCCCCCCCCCAACTTTCCCACACACACACCTGAAAATTTTATCGAAGGCAAGAGAAAAGAAAAAACTACCCAACAATTTTTAACTCCATTCATATTCTTATTATATCCTTCTACTTACAAGACAGTTGAAAAAGAGTATTGACAGCAAGAGAAGCCCCAAAGAGCAAACCTTTACAGAGAAATCACATATTCATAAAGATATAGTGCCCTGAACTATATAGGCTTGATATGGAATTAGTTTTTTCATCATAACTAATAGTAGTGCAATAATAAAAATTATCTAAGTAATATAAAAACTCAGTTAATAATATTCTTAAAACTGCTTTCTCTTTGGTGTTATATTTAATTTCATAATGATGAGTGAGAGGGTCTGGCTTTTATCAAGCAGACGCCCTGAGGTGTCAGTGCCTGATGATCCCTGCTGGAAGGAGCGTGGTGTCTGTGGTGAGTGCTCTCCCCCAGGTGCTTCACTGCAGAGTGAGCCTGGCTGGCTTTAGGAGGAGCTGAACCTTCTCTTGCAGAATAGCAAAAAATTCTCCACTTTAAAAGAGCAAACTGAATAGAGGCATAGCCTCTTCAGATCTTCAGATGAGATTCGTGCTCAGCAAAAGGAACAACTAAAACAGAGAAATGTGTGGGTAAACAGGTATTTATGATGAAGAAAGCCCAGATAAGAGCAGGAAGTAATGTGATAAACTTCTGTTTAGTAATACCTAAAAATCATTTGAATGACCCTGGACCATTTTTTTATTGCATTCTGAGAACATTTGTACAAAAATAGCGGAAAATATTCTTTATTCTTACTGTAAAAACATACTCTTGTTCAAATCCCATAGCTATATGAATTGTAAATGTATTATGAAGTTATATTATTATTATTGTCTTGAAAATCTATTTTTGCACAGACTAGACACTGATTTTACTTTTATGTGATTTCAATATGACTGTTTAAAATATTGAGTTATAAAAAAGTCATTAGGTTTTCTAAAAGGAGTAATGGTTAATTTTTTCCTGAAAACATTTTCAATATTTCTGACATTTTAATACTATGGAGAAAAACAAGTAATCAGATTTTTTATTTTTTCTTCTGCACATATTACATATTTCAGTTCAGTGAAAAGGAAGAGTAGCAGAATGCGACAGGACTAAACCAGGATCTGGCAAATATTTGTTTTCCAAGATAACAAAGGTCACTGAATTATTAAACTACTTTTTCTCGCTTTAAAAAACAACAACAAAACCTGAATACAAAAAGTTATGTCAGTATGTCAGGTTGCTTACATGGCACCTTGAATTCCAAAAATCCCTGTACATAAAACTCTGAGAACCAAAGCTTGGGACTTGGATTCTAGCACAGTTTAAATTCTGAACCACAACTAGAATCCAAAATTTCATTATGTCTGTTAAATAGGGCAAATTTATAAAACAGTCAGATTCAGTTCCTAAGCTGGACACAAGTTTGATTTACATGTATTTAGTTAAACCATAACTCCTGAAGCGGAAGCGCATGACACTATTAGAAGGTATTTTCATTTTTGGAAGGTTCTGAGAAACAACCTAAATAAAATGGAAAGGAAATTAATTTCTCATTAATTAAGCTTCAATGCAGACAAAAACAATAATATAGAGACAATCTTTTATATTACTAGAATATCGTTATTCCAAAGTAATAGCAAAACAACAATGTTAATGTACAAAAGCACTCCAACTAATTATTACAGTCTGGCACTTAATTTCATAGGTACTTAATAAAACAAGTATGGTTAATACTGTTAGAATCAAAGTATCTAAACACAGGAAATTCTTATTAAAAGGGAAATTAAATCAGTTGTGATGAAACAAAATGTCAGAAATGGCACACTAAGCCTTACCTGTCTCTCTAAATAAATTTCTTTCTTTCAAAGTCTATTCCTATGTTTAAAACACTTTAAAGGCAAAAAACTTTAATTTTGCCATGTACCTTTTTATTATGAAAGAGTAGATTGCTGTTTATTTTTATATCTTGTAATTTCCAGTGTATATCCTGATTATCTCAAGGAGTCCATTCTTTTTCACCCATTTTTGTTTAATTTGTCTTGGAAATTCAGCTGTATTTTCCCCCAAGGTTTCATGTACTCTAAATGTTTAAGCCAACATTTTAAATGCTAAGATCATGTTGCCTCACACTTTATTCCCTGTTATTGACATATTTCTCTATCCAGTTAGGAAGAGATACTGGAGATATTTTATCCCATTTATGGTTTTAGAGCTCATGTAGTTTATTCCTATATACAACAGAAAAAGTAATAAGCACTCTATGGAATTATATTTTTTAAATAATTGTTTTGTTATGGCAATAAATATGATATGTTCATTATTTTGGTGTGTGTTTGCATTTTTAAAGCAAATTGTGTGAAATGGGAAAACATTTTGCTAATAAAATTTGCAAACATACAGTTCTTCATTATAAGTAGCATATTTTCTAAAATGTATGATGGAATATGTTTTCTTCATTATGCTATGCTAGAAGACAAGCAAACAAATTTTCCACCTGAAATACTGACTTTTAATCAAACTACTACAAGATTTAGTTGACCTGTAATAGTGACCCCAACAGATAAAACTAAGAGCAAGGTTTGTTTTTCATTTGCTTGGAATCAATAGTGCCCTACTCATGAAACTACAATCATTAAATGTGAAATGAACATAGGCAGAACAAGATTAATGTCTATGAAATTTTACCTAATTGTCCTGGAAGACAATGAGTACGCAAACCTAGCAGTGTGAACATTTTTAAAATGTAGTGAATCTCAAAATTTCCAGAATTTCTAATAACTCTCTAAGTGATGTTTTTGGGTTTATTTTTACCTGTGTCTGCTCTGTTCCTAAATAGTCTAAATTGCACCCACACTCGTTAATGCTTGTAATTAAACTTTTCCCAGGTAAAGATAGGGCTTGTTTACTGTGTTTAGGGGTAATATAAGCAAAATCCAGGCTCTTTTTAATTGCATAATTCACATTTCTTTAATAGAAATGTTTAGGAGAGACAGTTTGAATCTCCCTCTGGCGAGGTGTATCTCTCTTCATTAATTATGACTCTGATTAGATATCGAACTAGTAAGGGCCAAAATTAAACAGAATTAATTTCATGCTGTTCACAACCTGGCTTTATACCCTGATCAATGAGAAAACGAATTAAACAAAATCAGTAGGTCTGGAGAGAAATACTGAGAATGCAGAAGAAGTGTGAAAGGTAATCCAGATTTGAAGTCTGGGGAGAAAAATGAATAAAGGACAATAGAAATTGTGCATTTTACTAAGTACTTGTCACACTGACACTGAAGGCTAATTTAAAAAGTTGATATTAATTTTTCATAGTTTCTTAATCTATTATTATTTATTTATTTTAAAAATATTTCTTTGTAAAATGGGCGTAATAAAATTCCTCTATTTGCAAAGTTTGAAAATAAATTCTGAAGCATATGCATACTGTGACAGTAACATCACATGTACAAGCAGGAGGAAGTTCTCTTTCTGAAGCAAGGTGTGAATAATGTGCATTATATAAAGTATGGAGTCATGGATCCAACACTGACAAAAAGCTTTAAAAGAGATTATTTGAGTAATAAATTCAATATTATGCTATCTGTGTCAAGATCATAGACATGAAATTTGCATAGAGCATCTGCTTTCCATCATTCTTAACTCAACACTTGTCCTTGCAACTTGTGTGAAATTTTAACAAGTATATTCTGTGTCAATGTGAACAGTCGTTTATCCATGGTTTTGTCTGCACTTTAATCTTTCTATTTCATGACCCAGTTTTTAATTAAGTCCTCATTTATTTTAATTACTTCTGGAATTTCCTGAAAATGTGTTGACGATCTGTCAGAAAAAAACAGTGTAAATAACAAATGTGTCACTCTCAAGAATAGATGGAGCATCTGAGTTCTAAAAAGCAGATTCATCTGTACAGTTAATTATCCACAAGGAGAGGCATTTAATTTGTGATATTCTCTAAGCATGGTAAATGATAAAATGGGAAAAAGAATCCATTAAAAGATACAAATTAGTGGCATATAATAAAAAGAATACATGTAGTATATGGTGTATTTGAATAATATCATACAAATTAAGAGAGCTGTATTGTAAATGTCCTCTAAATATTGGAAAAACCCATACAGGTTTTTTAATATCATACAATCAGTAGCAACAAAGAAATTTTGAATGTTCTGAGAAACACAAGGCAATGTCTTCCCCTGTTTAACATAGGCTACATCAAATTTTCCAGATTCTATCATACAAAAATTACTAAACTCTAATCTAAAAAGTCAGGTTTGATCATTTTTTTGTTTTGATAAATGAGATTTAAGATAGGCTTAGAGTTTTGTCATTCCATGAACCTGATGAAGAAAGAATGATCATCAAATGCTTTATGGATACTATTGAATGACCTAAAAAAGGTTTAAAAAATGGGTACTACTTTTGACTCCGTGAGGAAAGTCTACTGTGATCTTAGCAGCAAAATAAATCTCTACAGAAGCCTGAGGATTTGTGTTTGGGTTTTATTTTTGTGGGTTTTTTTTTTTTTTTTGGTTGGTGGGTTGATTGGTTGGTTTGTCGCTGTTTGGTTTTTTGTTTTGCTTTGTTTTATTTTGTTTTTAATATATAAATGACCTGTGAACCATGTGGGACAGTGAGATCAAAACTGTTGGATATATGAAATCAAAATAGTAACTTCCTTAGACTGTATTTATCAATGATTTGGAGTTAGAACAGCAATTTCTAATTATCTTAAATTATCTTATTTGCCTAACACTTTTGCACACCATTTCCTTTTTATTGTAATTGAAACAGAGCCACTCCATAACTAGCTTTTACTGGGAAAAAAAAAAATACAAAACCTACCAGGAATTAAAATCTAATATTCTTTGGACCATGTACAGTTATCTTCATCTAACTTCTGTGCGTACATACTT